CAGCGAAAGCTATAGTGCCATCTCCATTGCACCCGTAAAAGTTGTTCGGATCTCTGATATACCAATTGTACGAACTCGGTAATTGGCCATACGGAACATGTTGTTGAGCCTGAGGCCACGGAGATTCGGATCAAAGGGCAGCGGCAGGTTCAAACGACTATAAACCTTCTGTACGCTGCCCATACCCCACTCTGCAGCCTGCCTCACTGAAGTGATGGCGTTGTGCAGCGTCCTTGCTGAGCTACGAAGCGATGGCTCAATTCTCTCGAGGTCCCCGTCCTTCAGTGGAGTCAGGATCCCGCCTGTCATTGCCGTGGAACACGGGAAGGCGGAGTCCGACACCACGTTCATGCGGTCATCAGGACAATACATTGGGTCCAGAAGTTTCATGCGGAACCCGAGCGATGTATCGGAATCGTTCCAGGATCCAGGGCAATTATGCTTGGCCTAGATAATGCAGCCGTCCGCGGCAAAGCAAATAGTGCCCGTGACTAGAACCGAGTGTAGCCATCCATTGTACATTGCGTTTTGAAGGTCAGAGTTAGGATGCTGCTGCACCTGCAAATGCAGATAGTAACAGCACCACGTCAGTAGTCAAGACCTAGTACAAGGTATCCAAGGTCGTACTTACACGGAAGTTCTTTCCATCGATGAACCCGAATGTATACTGCATCAACGGCTCGCGAGCGTTAACCAAGCTGGCAAGCTCTCTCTGGCGGGAAGGGGACGGCCATGAAATCCGGGCTGGGGCGAAATCCCGAAGTGCACAAGACAGCGCCTCTTCGGCTTTGCACAGCGTCCGAGATAAAGTGCTCGGAGGTACCCCGAACAACATGCACAGCGTTCCGTTCTCCATCGACCCGACGTAGAAGCAGAGAACGAGACCAAGAGCCTGATGATGGTAGCGCAGTTTTGGCGGCTTGCCTCTGCTTCTGGCCGGAGGGATGTAGTAGTAGCGCGCAAACCGGCGCAGTAAGTGCTTGAAAGAAGCTCTGTGTAGTACGTGACAGTATATAGTTAGCCCGATAACACACCAAAAATTCGTAACTTACCTCGTCAGACTAGTAGCATTCAGAAAGTTTGAGTCAAAGCCGTTCTTGTAAAGGGCCATCCACGCGGCCACGCAGGGTACATCCAAGCATGACACCGTCAAGTAGTGACGTGTGCGCATTGC